CAAGCTATTTCTCTTTGCAAAAAAGTGTCAAATTGATTACTCTAATACTATTGTGTAAAAGGATAAGATCTCTTTTCACAATCACTATATTCAATATTATATATATGATGTTTATGAGATTCAACAGCTGCTTTGATGTGGGAATTCATCAGATCTCAATGCAATTGAGCCAGCTTGGCCCTGAATGAAGTGCAGAATAACAAAAAAAAGAAGCTTCTAAGAATTGTATAGAAACAGTTAAAATATAAGAACAGATATGAAAGAATCTGTCACAAAAGAAAATACAGACATGAATTGAGTGGATTTCTGTACATATTGAAAAAATTATAGAGTTAGAAGGTGGCAATGAGTATAGAGAAGGAAGATGGCACAGGCAGATAAAGGAATAGAATACTCATCTGATTCTGCAGAGTGGCAGATTGGCACACAGGTTGGCATACAGATTGGCAAGCAGGTTGGCACGCAGGTTGGCACGCAGATTGGCAGGCAGATTCCATGTTGAATGGCAGTGGAGACAAGGAATAATCAAGAGCTGAGTATTCAGTATAAAATACAGTGTGAATTTCTGCCAAGATTTGTGGCGCTGTCTAGTTGTCTTTTTGCCGGCGCAATTCTTTTGATAGCGCCCTCCGTACAATTAAACACGAGACTCAAACCCTTGATTGATGCTGCGCGCCCGCTCCCGTCCCCGCTCCCGTCCCCGCTCCCGTCCCCGTCATCATGTCCCTGTCTGTGTGAATTACCACCACCTCCTCATGATCAGCGTCCTGACCGGGGTTACATGTCTGGAACTGAAAAGCGCGGAGGAATAAGTACCACCCAACAGCTATCACCGTACCCATCGCGGGGCCGAGCCAGTAGATCCAGTGGTACCCCGGGAAGGAGCGGTTGATGACGTCTGGGCCGAGAGAGCGGGCGGGGTTTAAGGAGCCGCCGGTGAAGGGGATTCCTATGAGATGTCTTGTTAGTTTTTTTTTTTTTTTTTTTTTTTGTGTGGCTAGTTTCCTTAGGCTTGTTGGGGTGGGGAGGCTGGAAGGTGAGGTGGAAATTATTCACCAGCAAAGCGGGATAGAGGAAGGGGGGAAAGAAAAAGGGCTGAATATATATAATTACATACCCGTCAGCTCAGCTAAAAAGAATGCCAACCCAATCCCCAACGGCGCCATGAAAGTTGCCGCGTGTTTCTCGACCGCGAGCATTAGTATCGTAAGTACCAACTGGGCTGTCAGGAACATTTCGATGAATAGTCCTTGTGCTATCGACGTGCCGTTGATCAGGCGTGTCCCTACGGCTAGAGAAGTGGGAAAGATGGCGGAGGCCACACCTGCAGCGGCAATACCGCCAACAAGTTGCGCAATGATGACGAGCACTGCTCGGAGGGGTCCGATGACCCCCAGGAGCAAGAGCGCGAAGGCTACCTGTATGCGTAGATATGTTTAGTGTTATTCATTTTCACTCTGTTTCAAGGACTGGTTTCGTGTC